AGTAATACATTATATCTACATGTATGTACAAAAAAGGACCAAAAAATTACATGAAATGAACAAAAAACAAGGCATAAAGTAAAGTAGGCCTACAATAATAAGACAAAAGAACAAATGAAATATGAGACACCAAATGAGCATTTCTTTGCGATTGGAAATAAATTAATGATTCTACAATTTAGAAAAGAATATAAAAGTTGCTGTAAATATTGTGCTTTGAACTTTGTACCGTTGAGCTGATGGACCCACACAACAACAGCAAAAACAATGATAACATTATGTTGCTCTATCTTACCACAAAGCACAAGTAACTGATGCAACATGCTCGATTTTTCCACAATGTCATGTTGATGAAGCTATGCCCTAAAATGGTAGGTTCCATTGCCAGCCAATAGAAGATTCATGTAAAAAGAGTAAATGACGTATTTGAATAATTAAAACAACAGCAGAACCGAAAAAAGACGTAAAAAAAACAAACATCTTGAGATTCTTTTTCTGCCCAACCTCTATCAAGTGAGGCTACGTACTCGCACTACCAACTTTCATTCATTATAAAGCAGCAGACACACTTATAGTAGTACAACTAGTCGGATAAATTAAGGGAAAAATATCAGACTGGCCAGTTCACATACATGATATCCCTGTCACCACATTTGTGCACAAAACCGAGGGATGCTTTACATCTGCCTTCAAAAACAACATTACAGAGGCTCAGTCGGAAATCTAAACACATGGATGGTGAGACTTTATTTTCCAGGCTGCTGAGATAAATGTAAAGACATTTAGAATTGAGGAAAAAATCGTTGGTATCAATAGTGAGGAACAAGTCATCTACAACTCATGTGATAATGTGTTGCTGACTTTAGTCAACGACGAGAACATCAATCTGAGATTTCAGCTTGCTATGTATGGAACAGGTTGCAATGATAGGAAAGGTAAAAGGTTTTTGGCAGCAATGTGCGCGCCTCCACTTGTTTCATGTATTAGGGCTTCAGTTTTCAAAGAGGGGATTAGAGAAGCCATTAAGTCCACTGCAGCTGAATCAAGGGAGGCAGCAGCAAATAAAGTGAAGTCAGCTGAGGGAGAGCTTATTACAGTTGGATGTGATGGATCGTGGCAGAGAAAAGGTTTCTCTGGTAAGAACGGAGTTGCAATCTGTCTATTAGAAGTAAAGTACCAACTAAGGTCTGTCGAATCATTGCGATTTATGCTGTAAGGCTAGGTCAAAGAAGTTGTTTGCAGATCTAGATCTAGAAATAAAGAAAATTTATCAAGCTCAACATTGCATGAAAAATCACCATGGACCCGCAGGAAGCACGGAGCTGGCTGGCATAAAGTGCATAAGGTCAGAGGAGAGGAATGAATTGAAATATACTGAGTACATATATACTTAGAAGATGGAGATTCAAAAAGCTACAAGTGTGTTTCTGAGGCAACGTCGAAATAGAGCAACTCAAATGTTGTGGCCACGTGCAACAGAGGCTGGAAAAGACATTGCCAGATAATGTGTCCCAATGTTAGAACAACTTTGATCAGAATGGGAATAAGAAAGTGAAAGGAATTGTTCGTGCAGGCAAATCGACAATGGCTGCAATCAAGAGAGTTCAGGGACACTGCGGTGGTGCAATCAGGAAAACTGTCGGTGATCTAGAAATCTAAGAAAAGATCAGCTGTACGGGCAATTTATTACAATAGAAAAAGAGAGCATAATCAATGTGGAGAATGGTATGATAGAACTAATAATAAGAACAGGCTGCCAGATTTTGTGATGCAAGAGATGAAGAGCGTCTTTGAGGACTTGCTGGATGACCACCTGCTTAGAAAGTATTTACATGGTGGGACGCAAAAGTCAAATGCGGTTTTTCATCATCTAGTGAGGGATGGGTGCCCAAAAACAACTTTTGTTGGAAGAGATAGGTTAGAGCAGTTAATGATGTAGCAATTGTGTTTAATAATGGAGACATTGGCAGATGTGAAACATTCAGAAAGTAGGGACTATCAGTTGGGAGACTTCAGATCACAGCTTTTCAAACTTTAGACGTTTTATGAATGCAGGAAGACTGTCTCCAGCATCATCCAAACAACAACAAACCAAGGGTAGTATTGCTGCTCCCCAGAAAGAAAGTGGAGATGAAGCATATGTAGTTGGGGGATTCTTATGTAAGTTAAACCATCATTTTCCCCAACTTGTTTCAGTTTTACTGGGCGATTTTCTTGGTTTTTTTCAATTTTCATGCAAAAACATCAGGACCAATAGGAAAACTGAGAGGACAAAGACCTTGTATTTTACTTTTTGTCTCAAGGATGTGATACATTTTTCCCGCTGGAGAGACTTGGAGGGTCTTCAGCATTAGTAAAAAAATGTCTTAGCTCTACATGTGAACCTGTCCAACCTGGAAAAACCTTGAATGTCTTCTGTGATCAAACAACAGAAGCACTTAAGACATCAGAGCATTCAACCTCAGGTTGGAAATCCACTGCAGCTTTTATTGAAAGTATCACAAAATAGAGGACATTAAGTAACTGCCAGAGTATGTCCCAGGCCACTTGATTTAACGACCCTGGTAAAGCTGTTGTAGATTATAGTAGATAGTCTAGATGGAAAAAGTGGAGGATATGCTCTGTTGCTTGACTGGGCGGAGAACAAGTTTTTTCCCAAACCCAAGAGAACAGCCAGGGAACATACAATACATTAGCCAGATGCAGCCCTGACTTGATCATGTCGTGGTTTTGCAGATGTCTCAAACAGGAGTTATTTCATGAGCTGTAATATTTGTTTGTGTCAGCTAAAACTAAAATCAACCAGATATTCTGAGAGGGGATATAAGCACAATAAAAAAAATATATAGGTATTGTGGGTTTTGAAGAATATTTTGTTCTGGCAGTCACTGGAAATATGGTCAAAATAGTGTGGCACAGGGTGCTTTTGGCCAGCTCTGGAAAGAGTTAATCTACTCATGCTGCACACACAGCCGTTAAGTCTGAGCAATCCACCGAACAGACGTCACAGCATGTGGGCACTTGGAGCAGAGTGAAAACTCACCATTAACCTCGGCTGCTCAGTGCTCAAATCACGGGATTGTTTACTTAACTACATTAGTGCATGTGGAGTGAGAATCTAAATTAATTACGTTTTTTTTTTGGTGACTTCCTTTCTTTCATCACAGCAACTCGAAGAAGTCAAAGGTGCAGCTTAGCTTTGGAATTCTTAATCATTTCACCAAATAACTTTAATAATTGGATGTACCCTTGTAAGTTTTGAGCTTGAATTCGTTTTGTGTCAATGATTTGTTTGCACTATGAGGGACAGGCAGTCATTCTAACACACTTTCACCACTCTACAAAAGGTCGAGCTTCAGCTCTACTCCCATTTTAATAGAGAGGCAAGGAGAGGAGCTTTGTACTATAATAATGAGAATCCGAAGGAAAGAACTCATCATGCCTTAGGTTTGCTCCCTAAAGATAGCCAAAAGATTTCAAGAGGACGAGTACTGGGAGAAGGAAGGACTTCAGTTCATCCAACCAAAAGCAGTCATCAACCCATGTGAAGACTCATCTGACTCGCTGACAGAATACAGATAGGCCAATACTTAGACTGCTAACTTCTTACCACATTTTGTTCTATTTTTTGTACACCCTTAATCTTAAAAGGGGCATACAGCGGGAACGGACTTGTGCTTTGCCCTGAAAAATTACTTCTGAGGAGTGATGTTAACTGCACATGTCAGTTTAAGAGAAGCGGTTGTATTTGGCAAAAAACAAATGAGCTCATGTAAATGAACATTCTATATTTAATAATGACTTTTTATTATTAAATTTGTTTTTATTAAACGGGATGAATAAATTACTGCATGCATCCCCTGTCATTTACTTAACATCTGTCATTCCACCGATTTGTTTTTTTCCGATGGTAGTCATTCCTAAGAAATGCCTGACTGCCTATTTCAGTCATTCTCTAAAAATGACTAAAATTTTTAGGCATTCCTGGAAAAGCCTGATCAAAACAGGAATTGCTTGGGAAAGACTGAATTTTCAGGTATTTCCTGAGAATGACTAGTTTCTGGGTTTGACTGTAACATATGTATGATGAGCTGAAACAATTTTGGGTAGTTGATAACCAATAGAAGCCAAAACAAATGACATAAATATTTCACCCTTCTTTCTTTGTTTTTTTAACTGAATGTAAGGTCAATTGCAAACATGCAGACATGATATTGCTTTTCATATATGCATTTCAATTGTTTCCTTATCTCTTCAATGCACATGATAACAGATGATGTGAGAACTAATCTTTTGTCCTGTCACAATAAAAAAAAATTCTGCTAAATTAGAGTCTAATCATTTTCTCTTATTCGTTCTGATTCAACAGCAGTCCTGCTTGTTTCCAGCCTGGGAAGAACATCAGCATCAATGAGGCAATGATCACTTTTTATGAACGACTTCAGTTCAAGCATTACATCAAGGGAAAGCCCAACCCATGGGGCATAAATGTTTGATGTGCGGTGGATGTGTCAATGGATTCCTGTCCAGATTGTCTGCCTACACTGGGAACACTGACACCCCAATGCCTCATGGACTAGGACACCACATCATTAGGAAACTCAGGGAGCCCTACCGAGACAGGAATAACCACTTTTTTTGTGGCATTTATTTTCTCTTCTGTTCAGCTTGCCGGTGACCTACTGCAGGGTAAGACATACTGTCCGCTCCAACTGTAAAGGCTGGCCTGCAGATTTCAAACCTGCTGCAACAAAGCGTATGAAAGAGGTGGATATTCAGTTCAGGCAAAGTGGTAACATCCTTGCAACTGACTGGAAAGACAAGAGGCATGCCTCTATACCCCCCCCCCCCCCCACACACACATACACACACATATATACACTCTCCCACCACTATCTTCTTTGCCTCTACCTGTAACATTGAAACCTCCCCTCCCCAGATATGACACATTTTGCGCGAACCCACACTACACCGGCAACAAAGTAAGAACCCTGAAAAGATTATTTTTTTAACGATAAAATCAATGTTTAGATGATGGCAAAGTCCACTGTACAAATATACCGGTGACCACTAGCTGGACTGGCCACTAAGGATAGGTGCCACTGGGTGAGGCACACTGACCGGGGGCAGCAGGAAATTCCTCAGCTGACTGTTGAGTTGTCTCACTTCTTGATCTTGTTCTTCGTAGCCCCGAACGGCTTTGGTGAACTGAACCAGACCTGAAGAGAACAAAAAGAGTTTGATAAAATTGAATATTACATATATTTAAAAGATGATAGATATAAGCGACACTGAGACTGAGAGAGAAGTAGAGAGAGGGAGAGAGAAGGATATAGAGAGAGAGACAGAGAGAGAGACAGACAGAGAGTGAGAGAGAGAGAAAGAGAGAAAGATGGGGGGGGGGGGAGCGACCGAGAGAGAGAGAGGAGGAGAGAGAGGGGGAGAGAGAGAGAGAGAGGGATAGAGAGTGAGAGAGAGGGAAAGAGAGAAAGAGACCATAAAAATGAATAGCAAGTACGATTAAATCATGAAATTAAAAACAAAACTGAAACTACTAAAAGCTTAAAAGCTGTCTTTTAAAATGAAGCTCTCCAGTCAATTACAACAATACACAGGAATTTCGTACTTTCTTTGAAACAGCCGACAAAATTCCTCCCTGAAAGATATCTTTGCATGGCAACAAATCATGCCCTTCAGCATACATAACAGTGGATGTAAATCATACCCTCGGAAGAAAAGACGATCACAGTACCATGCTAAATTACTTTAAATTTGTCCTGACCGCTGAAAGAGGCCACACTTCTAGCAAGAGAACTTAAAAACTATTGGTCAGCTCCAGATAATGCAAACAAAATGATATATATATATATATATATATATATATATATTAATGATGTCCCCACAGTCGCAGAGTGAAATGTGAAGGACACATGATGATCCAGTTCTAAAGAAAAGGAGGCTAACCTGTGAAAAATGCCGGATCCAGAAAAGTGAATTCATAGATCAAATACTCCAGGCCTTTCTAAACACACAGTAGTATATCAGACAAGTCAGGGCACTAATCAAATAGCCATGACAACAAACTAGACCAATTATATGATATTATAATAATCTGAATACTACTGGTAGAAATCTTAATGAAGACAAAGTACCTTCTCCGTCCGGAAGAAAGCCGTATCTCTGCACCACCTGTATCTGCATCTGCGTGGCCGCTGGGAACACAGTCTGCATACTCTTGAGCATGTCATTGCCAGCGGCGCTTCTAACTTCCTCCAGTTTGGTCACATTCTCTGGCTGGCTGAATGTTTCCAGGATCTCGCGCAAGGCAGCTAAAAATACAAGGAAGCAAAGTTTACATAAAAAGCACAATATATGCGCAATTTATCTTTTGCATAAGTCAAACCTCTGTAAACTCCTTATCTCTGGCAAGCCACCCCCAGCGGCTCACAGGCAGAACTGTTGTGCTGGTAAGCAGAGGCTACATTCTTTAACGATGACGTCAACCCCAAAAATTACTTTTCGGCAACTGCCAAAAACTGGTATTTTTTTACATTCATTAGATGAAAAACTTTCGAGTGACGTTTTTGTCCTTTTTAGATTTAGTACCCAAAAACAAGGAACCCCGCCGTAGTGGGTTTACCCACTTCAGAGATAAAGGAAGTGCAAAAAAATCAAAAGAGCCTGCAATCACAATAACCTCAAAGTACAATCCCACGTATTTCTCAAGTACCTCAATCCTCTAGAAGAAATGAGTGATGAAAACTGCACCTAATTTTTAAATTTATAAATACAGTCAGGCATGGACAATCAAACATGTCAAGGATAATTGGCAATGTGTCCGGGTAAACCGATAAAACGAAAAAGTATAGATATTGAAGAACAAAATCAAGGGAAGCAACTCTTACAGTACAATGATCAGGAAATACCAAAGAGGTTATAAATTTTACCAGAGTCCGTAAGGTGTCACAAGACTAGATATGGAAACTTTTGAGTTTGTTGGCAGCCATGTTCGAGTTGGCGAAGAAGTTTGTTTACATGTGAGCGGGCGAGTCAGTGCTCTTATTAAGGAAGGTATTTTATTAGATCTCTGGATTCGAATGTTGTGTTTTCATCCACTGAGATTCTCTTAAAAGTGCAAGCATGAGAAACCTTCAGTCCCTTTCTGGACTAACGTCTTACAGCCTTAGATAGAGACTTTCTCTACAGTAAATTCATTATACTAGCAAATGTCTGATTGGTCTGGAAGTGGAAGACTGAAGAAAACGAGACCACTGAGAAAGGATGGTGCAACACTTCTACAGGTGTTTATCAGTGCACTCAAAGCCTCCAAAGGTACCCCTCTTTCTTTTCACCGGTAAGAATAAGACTGATAAGAATTTAGACAGATAAGATCCAGATCTATATAGTCTAGATATTTTGAAGAAAATATTCGAAAAGATTAGGAGCCTGGTCTGATCAAAGCCTACAGGCTTTCAGTTGATTAATTTAATATCAGATCTAACCGAGGCAATTAACCGAGGCAATTTTGCCTCGCCTTTTGTGTTTTTAAAATTACTTAGACACCTACATCTCTAGATCTACTTACAAAATCCAAGCTAGATCTACTTAATCACTTGATCTTGTCATCCAGTTGGTTCTCCCCTGGGTTGAGCATCAGTGTAATAACTTTAACCAAGCCTAAATAGATCTAGGTCCTAAAAGGAAACGGATAACTCGGAGTGTCTACGTACACGGTAACCGGGCGCATAGCCTCAGGGTCTACGTACACGGTAACCGGGCACGTAGTCTCAGTATCTGCGTACACGGTAACCGGAAGGTCCAAGAGATAGTTCACTCAGCCAAAAATAGTGTCACTTTTATTGTTTTTCACACAAGTAGAGTAGGCCTAACTCTGTTCGCAAAGTTCGCGCTTTTTCGAAGAGGGCGTACTAGGGTCAACCGCTCAATAGTCCAGCATGATACCCACTAGCCTAAATGTCATAACAGAGCGTCCAGTGAGCCTTTACTTTCGCTATTGTTACCACCCAGAAATTTGTAGTTAAATGTCTGATAACGCAACAATTATTGTAACATGCAGGTTCGGCATTACAAACGTGGTGTCGCCATGAAAACAAATCAATATTTGTCACTGTGTCGTCACTTATGGGGGCAACATAAAGAAAAGAAAGTTATACAAGCGTCTTGTTGGGCTCGCCATTGTGACCGGTCAATGAACCAGCGCGCATTCTGAGCGCTTCGAAGTAGGCCTACAGGACTCACGAATGGGAGGGATTATTGATTTTTTTAAAAGACGCACTCGGTGATAGGGGGAGGCTGAACGCAACACCAGAGGACAAAAAAAACTTAAACTGGAAGCAAATATTATGTTTAAGGGGGGGGGCTACACCTGGAGGCTATCTCGCTTATTACATGACCGAATTTTACCAAATTTCACACATATAACAAGCATAGTAAGGAGTCTTAAAATCCGCAATCAAATTTGAGAAAAAAGTTTCATTTCCATGGATACGCCGCCATATTGGATTTCACTGAC